AAAGTAGTGTTTAAAAGGCAGCTCACCATTTGCTGGTAACTTAGTGTGAGAGAATCCGTACCTACCGTGAAAGCACCAGGTGTTCTTTTTAAATGAAGCCTTGTGCGTTCTTTTTAAATTATTTTTAAAGAGTCCTTCTCTCTCTGATTCAGCTTAAATTTTATTATCGGAAAAGCCATTAAGGTGGTTATTATTGTATGGTGGTGGTGGTTTTATTATATTCAGAATCTCTTTGTATTACGTGATACTGGCATTGATGAGCTTTGCCTAAAGATGAGTATGAATTTTCAGTAATACACCTCTCTCTCTCTTTGCCTCATCTCTCCCTTCGTTCTGTGTGGTTTATTTGGGGAGAAAGTGAAAGGATCTGCAACCAGATGTAAGAAGGTCGTGTATAGCTTTTATACTTTAAAGTAGCTTTCTTTGTATGCCAGCAGCAAATTGAATGCTCTCTTATTAAGACTTATACAATAAGTGCATGTAGGAATTGCAAAAAATATTTTAAAAATTTATTACTGAATTTAAAAATATTTTAGAAGTTTTGTAATGGTGGTGTTTTAATATTTTGCATAATTAAATATGTACATATTGATTAGAAGACTATAACAAGCAATTTTTCCCCGCTAACCCCAAATGTTATTTGTAATCAAATGTGTAGTGATTACACTTGAATTGTGTATTTAGTGTGTATCTGATCCTCCAGTGTTACCCCGGAGACGGAATTGATGTCTCCATTGTATTTAAACCAAAATGAACTGATACTTGTTGGAATGTATGTGAACTAATTGCAGTTATATTAGAGCATATTACTGTAGTGCTGAGTGGGCAGGGCCATTGCCTGCAGGGAGAGGAGACCCTTGGAATTGTTTTGCACAGGTGTGTCTGGTGAGGAGTTGTTCAGTGTGTGTCTCTTCCTTCCCCTTCTCCTCCTTCCCTTATTGTAGTGCCTTATATGATAATGTAGTGGTTAATAGAGTTTACAGTGAGCTTGCCTTAGGATGGACCAGCAAGGCCCCGTGGACCCCGAGCTGTTCACTGGGATTTACCAGAACAGGATTAGTAGCTGTGTTGTGTAAATGCATTGTTCTCAGTTTCCCGGCCGACACTGAAAAATAAAAACAGCAGCTTCTCTCCTTACGGCCACCTCCACCCCTTTCCATTTTGGATTCTCAGCTGAGCTCTCACGGAGGCGTTTTCCCCATGCGACTCTCTCACTGTGCGTTGCTACCTTGCTTCTGTGAGAATTCGGGAAGCAGGTGAGAGGAGTCAAGCCAATATGAAATATGCATTTTTTTCTTTTTTTTAAGTATGTGCAATCGCTTTTAGATGAGATTTGTTTTTTCCTTTTCCCACGTGGCAGTCCTTCCTGCACATAGTCGACATTCCTAGTACAATATTTGCTTGTTGAATAAAAACATGTAACAAATGTGTTTATACCAAAGAGCCTGTTGTGTTGCTTACCACGTCCCCATACTGTGAGGAGGAGTCTCGTGATGCCACTGTTGACAGGGAACTCACAGAAAGGTCTCTTAGTTGGTGAAGAATATTAAGAGGGAACCAAAGCCTGTGAGTCACTGGGCTTTTGAGGTTTCTTTTTAACAACTTGTATATTCTTGGGGCCCTTCAAACTGTGAAATTGTCCTTGTACTCTTAGCTCCTACACGGATCTGGGTCAAGTAGAGGGTAGTGGGGATGGCAAGTTCCTGCCCGTAAAAGATTTGGGGGAAGAAGGTTAACCCTGAGATGTAGACGTGTTCCATCTGAACTGAGAATTGTGTATTTGAGGGATAAGTCTAGGACTGGTTCTTCGTAGAGATGGTGTCAAGGAGGTGCAGGATGGAGATGGGAGATTTTCATGGAGCCTGGTCAGCAAGCTCTGTACCGGGGTGGACACCGAGGAGCTGTCAAGGTATTTGGAATTTCTTCATTGTAAGGAGGAAGGGCTTTCAAGAGGGGGCAGATGGTCAGTACAGCCTAACAGGAACATGTCGGTGTTTTCTGAATTTTTTTAATCATTATATTGAGTTGTGTTCTCAGCACCATGTTGGTCAAGATACCCAGGCAGTTTGTATAGTTTCTGTCATTGGTGTTATACAGCTTTTTGGCCAGTGTGTGTGATCTTTATATGTCTCTCTTTGCTAAGCACATTCTCATTTTCTTGCTCAAAGGCAGATCTAGTTTCTAATGGAAACATTTTTTGTTCCTTATCTTTCCTTGACAAGGGATAAGATTTGTTATTTTTGTAAGAAATGAGATGCAGGAAAAAAAAACATGTAACACTTCACTCTCGTCCCCATCCCCCCCCCCCCAGTCCAGTAAGAGGATACCACTTAAGACAGGAGTCTTCACGGGGAGAAGGCGATACCAGGCGCTTGTATGTTACCTTAATCACCTTACTAGCAATGTGTGGCTTTAAGAATTTTAGAGATTTTCAGTCTTAGTCTGCAAATTGGCGTTTCAGATTTACCAAGATAAAAACCCACCTGTGTCTACTGAATGTGTATGTGCTCAATGTGGCTTTAGATTCTGTCCCTGGGGCTTAACTTTGCTGGCCCTGACAGGACGGGGGAAGCCCATGAATTAAGTGAGCAGCTGGTCCGGGTCACAGTGGCCTGACCTCCGACCAGCTTAAGGCTTTAAGTCCTCTCAGAACTTGTTTCCAGCTTCTCCCTTTTAGGGTGAGA